CATTGCGGAACGGGAAGGACTGTTTCGCGCTTCCTGAGGAGGACTTCACTTCTGCTGCCGGTCCGTCCATCTTCCTCTATTCATGAGCTGTTTCTCCAGGATTTTTCCAAAGCGTGAGTGGGATTATCTGTGTGACTGGTAACTGCCATTGAGGACAACGATTGGTTTCCCGCACCGCACCTGGAGCACACAGGCCTGCACCGTTTATTGTTTTTGGATGCGTGTGTGAGTGTGAGTGTGTGTGTGGGCCCACTGTTTGTTAAAGTTCTGTCAAATAGAGTATTTGTTAGGATTCTGATAAGTACAGAGACCTGAGATAATTTTACTATTTTGATATGGTCAATTCTAATTTTCTTATTACAATTCTGCTTTCTACAGTGTTTTTGCCTAATTTGGTAATTGTTATTGTTGTTGCTGTGCGCTAACTAAAAATATAAAACCTAATTTCATTTATTTTGAAGAGTTGTCTGGGCTCAGTCATTTAACATAGTGTAGTGAATATAGCCTCTAACAGTGCTGTGTTTACCCAAACACCCCATCATTCTAGTCCAAGGTGAGTTCCTTCTACTTAGGCATTGACTGAGTGTTGGGGTGCTACATCAGTACAGGATGAAGACAAAGGAAGAAAGTTTGGGGCTGCTGGGTGCAGATGTTTTCTCACTCTGGACGTGGAGCTTTTAAATTCAAAAGATGCCATTCAGACTTTCTATCTTGTTTTCTCAAAACAAATATTTTCATTATCCCTCCTTTTTTTCACGGATTTAAAATTGTTTTTAACTTGTAATGTTTAGAAATAGTAAACAATTAACTGTTGTTTCTTCCGTTCATCTGGAATATTTCAAGCTGAATGAAGCACAGACTTACTTTACTAACTCTTGCTGATTTCAACATGATTTTTAAATATTCAGGTTATTGAGAGAATTAATGGACTTTGACAATAAATCAGGTAACAGAATAATGCCAGGACTTTTTAAAATCTAATTTTGAAATGTACATCTATAACTTAAAGAGAAATAAACTGATTTTTGTTTATTAGTTTATCAGTTATGTTTTGACTTTACATACACAGGTACAGCAGAACCTCTACATACCAATTGTATGTTAAATATTGGTATGTTGGTTCAAATATTCCATCAGAATACACTGTAATTCCTATAATTGGTCCCAAAAACCTACGATAACTCCTTAATAAATACTAATGATAGTTAAACATAGCAATAAAACAAATACATTATATAAGAGAGACATAAAAAGAAATAAGTTATAATCAATAAAAAGGGATTTTATTTGCACTTATTGGCGAACGGAGGAAGAGGTGGACACTGAAATACAGTGTGCACTGTAACTTACTCTGACTTTTACTACGTGAACTTTAAACTAACTTAGCTTCTTTATTTTCATTTGATTATTTTTTCTTTAACCTCAACGTCATATGATAGAAATTTACTTTGGGTGTCGAGTCTAATATTTGATAAAATTTTAATTCTAATGCTGGAAAATCCGTATGTTTAGGCATCATAAGTAGAGGTTCTGCTGTAGTTAGATTTCTTATGTTGAACACCTTTGATTCTAATTAATCTACATGATATTTATCTTTCTTAGACTGAAAGGCTGCAGTTTGTCAGAGAGCAGCTGGTCTTCTGTGGTCTCAGCTCTGAAGTCCAACCCCTCCCATCTGACAGAACTGGACCTGAGCCTGAACCCCATCTCTGAGTGTGTGATGAAGGAGCTGAGCAGCTTTCTGCAGAGTCCACTCTGTGGACTGAAGACTCTGAGGTCAGACTCCAGGTTTTAGTGGTTAGTCCAGATCAGAGGATGAGCTAAAAGCTGTGCTGACATTAAATGGTTAACAGAAGACTTTTAAAGATTCCTACTGAGAGTCTTTATGTTTAAATGTGATGTAAATTCATTAAAGATTCAATTAGAATGACAGAAGAAGCCATATTTCATTAAACGGTTAGAAACTCAGCTCCTACAGAGCTCATTCTTCATGTTCCTCCTCTCCACCACCAGACTGCTCTCATGTGTTATTGAGGCGTTGCTTTGGGGTTAACAGAGTGATTCCCTTTATTCATGGCACAGGTTGAGGAGATCTGTGTGGCAGCTGTTTGTCAAAATGATGCAGAAGTGCTCTGACTTGTGCATTGAACGGGTTTATTTACAGTGATGTTGATTTTTAAACAGAATATTTCAAACTCAGCTGTCTGAGGGGTGGATTAGGCTCAATGATAAAGCAGTTAGCTACCAATGAGACAGAGGTTTGACAAATGCTGATCCCACTGAGTTTCTGTCCATCCTCCTAACTGATGACATCACAGCTCTGAGAACACTTTAAAGGAACACATTTAGACTCCAGCTCTTTGGCACTCACACAATAAAAATTAGATATATTTTTGTTTTTGTTTTTACTAAAGACCTTTGAGTGATTTTACAGACTTTCTCTTGTTTTAATGTGGATGGAATAAGGAAAATTAGAAATGATCACACCTCAAATAATGATCATCATAACATAAATGATCATTCTGCTCAGCATGTGTTTGTGTGGATGGAGCCACTGGTGGAGCTGGCAGAGTTTAGAGCTGAAGTCACTGTGTCTTTATGAAGCAGCAGCATGTTGTCATTAATGTGAATGAGAGCTCTTTTTCTCTGGTTCTGTTTGACTGTTGTAACCTGCATCCTGTTGGTTTCAGGTCACAGCTTTTATTCTTTATTCAGGTTGAAGGCCTGCAGGTTGTCGGAGAGCAGCTGTTCTTCTGTGGTCTCAGCTCTGAAGTCCAACCCCTCCCATCTGACAGAACTGGACCTGAGCCAGAACCCCATCTCTGAGTGTGTGATGAAGGAGCTGAGCAGCTTTCTGCAGAGTCCACTCTGTGGACTGAAGACTCTGAGGTCAGACTCCAGGTTTTAGTGGTTAGTTCAGATCAGAGGATTGGACCCACAGTCCCATCTGTGTGCAACATCTGTCTTTACTGGCTTTACTCTGAATGTGATTGGACCCAGATTGTCCTTTGTTCTCCTCAGACTGCGGTGGTGCAGCTTGTCTGGGATCAGCTGCAGGCCTCTGGTCTCAGCCCTGAAGTCAAACCCCTCCCACCTAGTGGAACTGGACTTGCGTGGAAACAACCTGGGAAAACCAGCTGAGGAGAGTCTGTGTGCTCTGGTGGACAGCCCTGAGTATCGACTTGAGACTTTGAGGTCAGCAGGGGGGGGGGCTGGGCTGTTTTTTCCTGCCTCTGGCTGGAGGTTGAGCACCCTTTGTGTTCTGCAGGCCTGCAGGGAGCATAAATCTTAATCACGCAGAGATAAAAAGGCCTCTGGTTATTTTGTGTGTGCATAAACAGCCTGGTGGCAACACGTTTTTTACTTCCAGAGGCCCCAGAGCTTAAAGCCTGAGCAGTTCCACTGTTCTAGATCATAGTTATTTATCTTATTCAGCTCTTGAATGAATGCTGTGATGGGGGAAGAAAGAAGCTGTATGCAGAACAACCACAAGGGTTTTTAACTTAAAACCAAGTGCCAAATTCAAATGAACCTGAGACAAAAGGCAGATGCAGTACCAATCTAAGCCTCCAGGGGACACATTGACTTTTCCGCCATCTCTTTTTTGCCAGTAATTCTGATAATTGATCACTCTCACAGCTACAGGAAACTGGTTTGACCTTCTAATGTGTCACTTGGAAAATACATTGGAACACTAGACTATTTGTCCGTGATACTGTTAATGAACATAGAAAAACAGACTGCAGATTTAAGTTTGCACAAAGGTGTTTTGCCTTTGATGATAGGAATTATCCCTCAAAAATGCAAAGTAATGATGAGGGAAATGACCCAACTCTGCCTGTAATTGCTTTCGGCGACCCCTGGTGGTCATGCTCAGCTGTAATGGATGACTGAAATAGCTTTTTTTTATTAAACATGTTTTATTTATTACACATGTTAAATGTTTTATTTTGGGTTGTTTCCTGTCACAATATTGAACAGAATGTTTTTTACTCTAATTCTCTGGCTACTTATCTTTGATGTGTCTCTTTATATAA